TTCAAATACAGTTGTATTTTTTAGATCGCTTTATAATAAAAGTTAAATGAACTGAATACTGTGGATAGTGTTGTATATATTTTCAAACAACTTTAAACTAGACAAGGATATAAATTTAAAATGTGGTTTTTGAAAGGCAAGAAATAAAAACTGCAATATGCCAACAAGCACATTAAACAGAACCAGAATCATTGAGAGGAAGATCAGCTGGAGCTGGGTCTGCAGAAAGGAGTCAGTGGTTGGTCATAGAACATTCTAATGCTCACTAGATCTCCCATTTTCAGCCTCAGGTCTTGATGGGGCTTCCTGAGGGTGTGCCCTGCAGTAGACGGTGACATTGACTGGAACTAAGGTTCTCATTGTCACCTTTGCACAGCTCTTTCAGGGGTGCTGAAGGAAGGGCTTGAATCAGCATTGAGAGTTGCATTTTAGAGGCATTTTTGGGTTAAGGATAATTAGTAGTAGCCTGGGTTGTTTCTCTTGGGTTTGGTTTTATGCAAGATTGAGAATAATTCTATTCTGACTTTTCAAAATCATAAAACATGCCACAGAATAAAGAACAGGACTCTAATTCATTAGAAGAGCATCTGGTGATATAAACTGGACTAGATCAGATGGACAGCATTCCATGAATTGCCTTTGTGACTAGCACTCGGTATTCACAGTGATTTTAATGATACCATGTTAAAGGCTTTCTTATAAAAAAATTACAAAACTTGAAGAAAACTGGAAGTCACAACTGGATACTCAAGACCAAACTGGAAGAAAGGTGTGACTTGACATGAAGCTTAACGTGTAATCTAACTGGTGGTAAAACCTAATTGGCCTGGGGAGTGAGGACTACTACAGGACACAGTCAGATAGATTTAAGATTTTGCACCTGGCTGATGGACTGTTCTCTAATGACAACTCTTAGCAAAACATTTTCTACCCTAACCAACATCCCCCATTGATCTGTTTTCTGAGGCACTCAATCCCTACAAATTCCAATCAGTTCACTGGCTCCAGAGCTTCCATTTATTTATAGGACAAGGCACAGAGACATGGACACATATAGTCACAAGTGCCCCAAGGCTGGACAGCCATCTGCTGCAGTTACTTACTCTTCTAACACCATATTTGCTGTCTTCAGGGTTCGCACTTCTAGTCGAGGCCTGACACCATTATACTACAATATAAGGTCTGCTCATAGAGCAAGTTGAAAACTCAACATTTTTTTCTGACTAAAATATAACCAGTACTAGTCTATTTCTAAAGGGATTAAAATATGCATCTAGTGGCAGCCAAAAAGCTGTGGAATTTGTGTTTTTAAAGGTGCGACTCAGTTCCTATGAATACGCTGGTCATAAACTGCTGCTTGTTTATTCAGATTTCATTGTGTTATAATATTGATATTTAATAGGAAAATAAACTACATAGACTTTATCTGTATGTATCCATTTCAAATTTCCTTACAAAAGATGAAGCACATAGGCATTCACAAGTTCTATGCCATTTCTGTTAAAACTGGTTATCTATACATTATATTACAGTATTCATTTCTTGTTCTACCCATTGGGTAGAGTATGTGCATAATATGTTCAACTTATATACATCACCTTACAAATAAAAACAACATAAACAATTGAAGAAGCACCATTTTAAGTGAGGCACAACAAAGGTGAGCATTGCACGCAGGGGCTGGGTTTCTACATCTGAAATCTGAATTCGGGGCACCTCAGATGCTTAGAGATGGACTTGCAGAGCTAGGGGTCGAGAGGGTGTCTGCACCTGCAACACTCATCCTCTGTCTAGTTCTAACCTCCTTGTTTTACACGATCTCTAAGCATACCTAGAGGCAAAGGGGTTAAGAATATGCCACCTTCTCAGCAAGAGCACTGCTCTGACAGAGCCCCATGTGGCACCTGGCTGCAAAGCCAACTATTAAATGGCATCTTTATTCCTAAAACCTGTGGACTATGAAAGTCTGAGAGCACTGTCATGGTTTATCCACATTTCTGAGGGCTATGAACAGCTCTGACAGTCACGCAGGGAGTTCAGTATGATCTAGGTAAGCCGGGAGGCTGCTGAGAATTCATTTGTGATTTAGGGTGCAAGCAAGTCTCCTAATGGGTGACTGGTGTGAGAGAAAAGCAAGAAGGTAACAGCAAGTACGGCAGTTTTTGTTCTCCCCTAACTGCTGGGATTTTTAAGAAAAATGATCTACAAACAGAGTTGGTGTTGCCATTCTAAGTAGCAACTCGGGAAGCCCTACCACAGCATGCGCACCGTGTGCCAGTGGCCAGGTGGTGAGTCCAGAAGTGGCCAGGCTCTACAGCAAGTACATGAGCTGGACATGGCAAAGGCTGAGGTTGGCCACATGGGCTTCCTCAACTGTATAACCTGGGAATCTTGGGAGGACTTCAGCCCAGGGGTCTTTCTGAAAAAAAAAAAAAAAAAAAAAAAAACCAAAAGGAAGCTAATTAAACACATTCAGAAGGAGAATCTAAGTTCTGAGAGGAAGGCAGATATGAATTGATTCTTCCAGATCAGAGCAACTTTCTGAAAGTGCCTCCTTTTGGTCCCTTACTCTTAGGAAGATAAAATGAAATGGAGTTACCTAGAAGTTCAAAAAACAAATACTTGTTTGTATCCAATTCCCATGTTTGTGTCAAGAGGCTTCCCAGTTTGGCTCCTCATCCTTACCTCGTAAGGTTGAGTTAAAATTACTAAGTAAAAGTGTGATTCTCAGCTTTACTCATTCTGCACTACCTTGTGAGCTCTTGTGGGTTGGGTATGCATCTGCTGGAGAAGGCACAGGGATGCTTTACCAGTAAACATTTAATAAACAGTTGGCTTCAGGATCTCTTGATTTAGATATTGCTTCAGTGTTTAGAGAAGGCTAGTTTCTGAAAAAAAGGAAATGCAAGCCAGAAGGCCAAGTCCCTGTAGATGGAGTTGCATGTCTTAGGTTTCATAGTCCTAGAAATCTCCAGGACAAATGACAAAAGTCAGAGTGGATTCCCAGGACTGCTACTTCCAACAATGCAAGCCTTTGCTTCATTGCCCTGTGGGAATAATCTGCCATTATAAACCATCCTCAGGTGCCTAAATAACTGCTCGCTTAACTGAACCCTCATGAGTTCTAAACACCAGGCTGCTTGAAAGACAACATGCACCATTGTCTTCACAGATGATAACACCTTAGAGTCAGGAGACAGGCCAGCAGAAACTGTCAGCTAGAAGCAAGGAGGAGCTATTAATCTCAATCTCCCTGTAGGAGAAATGGACTAATGCATTTTATGACCTTGGCTTTTGAACTAATTCCTTTAAAAGGCCCAGCCTCAAAGACTTCAAAGTCACAGTTTGCTACACACACACACACACACACACACACACACACACTCGTATGTATGTATATATACATATATACATACGTGTGTGCGTCTTTAAATCACTAACAAAAAGCAATCTCTCGGGTAGTTGAAGGGGAAACTTTTTAAGTAATTAAGGTTACTTCAATTAAATAATTGTTTTGCCAATACTGTTGTCACCACAGAGTGTTCCAGGTTCTTGCAAAACTACTAAGGAATTTACAAGCCTCTGGCCTTAGCTCATTATCAGAGCAGGTAGAAAAATAAGGGTTGAGAAGCCATTTTGAGCTGAAACTAAAGAGTGGGGTCACCTGCTTTGCCAAAACTACAGTTGAGATTTGGAATGATAAAACCCTAACCTGACCATCCTCTGACAGTCATCCACAATGAGTTCCCCACCAGTCAGGATAAATACCATCTCTCCTCTCTCACTATACTCACAAGGCCTCTCAAGCACAGGCTGAAAGCATAGGTCACCTAGGGGCCAGCAACCTTTCAGGAGGCCTCGGGGAAATGGGAAAAGTCACTTTTGACCCAATTAACCTCTGGCCTGAGAGCTGGCTTCACCCTGAAAGGCCACTGAATGCCACCAGACAAGACAGAAAGCCAGCTCTAGAGTTCCCAACTGTGACCCTCAGGTACACATCCTTCCAAGCAGCGTTTAAGCATGAGCTGACCACTGGCTCACTTTTCTCCCTCTGACAGTGTGAGTACTGTGAATGCTACCTGTGAAACGAATAGCTCCAATGGTGATTTCAATCCTCAAACCAACCCAGGACTGACCTATCAGGATAATCAGATATGAGCAGCCTGGGGTCAGATAGGACTTGGGACTTCACACAGTCTCTCTAGTTCTCAGGTAAGGGAACAAAGTCATCTCACATAATAACCACTAAGAATGCAGTAACACACACACACACACACACACACACACACACACACACACACTGATTTGGAGTTAAAGCTGCCACTGAATTGCCATTTCAGTTCATTTTGTTAGGTGCAGAGGCCAGAGGGGACCAACCTCTAGAAAGCATCCCCACCACTACAGATAGACCCTCCTTGGTGCATGGTTTGTTAAAACCATGGACTGCTGCCACTGCACAGCCAGTGCTTATATCTGCAGAAGAAAGTTCTTTTTTTTAACTGTACATAAGAATGTTTAGAAACATTAGAAATAGTAAACTAAGACCAGATAATTAGAAGCACTTTTGCAGGTGCAACTGTACATGTTGTGCTTGGTCCTGTGCTGTTACAGTCACACTCTCACTCATTGACCTCTGCTCTCTAACTGACGGCAGAACAAAGACCAGCAGGAGAAAAGTGAATCTGTATGTGAGTCTGGGTAGGTCTGAGCTACAGTCCTCTAACAACACTACAACATGCAACTCTTGTGAAATGTAATGGCTTATTATGACAAATGTGTCCTTCCATCAGGTCCATGGTCTTCCTAAGCATAAGGAACCCTCACCAACATGGCTCACTTAAGAGAGCGAGCTGGGCCTGGGGACAACCGCTGGTGTCAAATGCTGAACTGACTACACTTACATAACTGAACAGAGCTGCCTAGGGAAGGCAAGAGACCATGAGATTCACTGAGCCATTCACATTCACTGCCATAGTTCAGCAGTACACAAAGTAACCACCTTGCATCTTAAGCGATTTATTGCGTAAAATATGTGTCTGAATATATTCCATGCTACAGTGGAAAAAGTCTAAATTACTGGAGAACTCCACTGCTAGAGACAGGGGCGCTCTACATGATACTGGATACATAATGGATGTGCTGCTTTCTACCTGCCTCCCCCACTGCCTTGGGTACATAGGTACTTGCTGCTAATTCTTACAACAATAACCACTTTTTAATATATATGTAACTTGGTAAACATTAGGCCACATCCCCAAGTACCTTTCCTTGTATGACTCGAGAATATTCCTTGGGCTTCATAATCATCCACAGGTGACAAGACAACAGACAGAACTTCACGCAAAGCAGTTCCCTCGTACATGTTTTAAACATTAAGATAGTGCAACTTTTAAAACATACCATCACAACACAAATTTGCTTCTCCTTGCATTCATCTAACTTCTTCACTTCCTACCTTGGCACACAAACAGGAGTTTTAATTCATATTTTTAAAACAAAATAAAAGTTTCACACCTTTGGAGAAAAAGCAAACTTGCTGATTCTTCCCCAAGATAATATATAATAATTCTTCCTTCTTTATTCGGTTATTGATAAAACAGGCCATTCTGACCTCACTTATCTGCAGTTTCTTTTTGGAATTAAATAAATCAAATACCTCTGTGGTCTTACTTCATGATGTCTTCAAAGCATCCATACTGTTTCCCCCACCCACCCTTTGCCAAGCCCATATCATCTCTCCCCCTGTTCCCGCCCCCTGCCCCCAGATGAACACTGTTTATGGTCAGATGGGATGGAAGTCTGTATTGTTTCAGTCTTGTTTGCATGCAATTCCCCTGAAAGGAATCAGAAACGAAGACCATGTTTGCACATTTGGTTTTACTCAGTTGTACCATGTAAAGCTGGACAACACTGTAGCAGGGGCCTGCAGGCCTGTCTCTCTGCTGAGGTTTCTCTCTCCTTGAATAGTGCACTCTGGAGGGATCAGACCAGGTTCCCAGGCTTCCTATCTTTGCCCTTGATGGGTACTATTGTGCTCTCTGAGTTGTTCTGCTGAAACTGTGGTCTGCTGCCCCTGTGTGCATTGCTGTGCTGGTGGTGGAAGAACGAGGTGCCTGGATAGTGGCCCATCACCTCGCTGTAGGTGGGGGGTGGCCCCTCCATCCTCCCGTTACTGCTACAGGTAGCTGCACTGATGCCCGAGTGGCTGCTCGGTGGGCATGGTCCCCCGTTGTACATAGAAATGTCTATCAAGTCACTGTCAAAGACAGTTCGGTTGGGCGGGGCCCTCACAGACTCGCGGTTGAGTTCCATCTGCTGCTCTGGGTCCCGGAGCTGCAGGCTGCAAGGCCCCTGGTAAGGAGGCGGCTCCTCCCCGTCGGACAGGGAGATGGTGGGAGGCAGGTCAATCTCATGCTGCACGTACGGGTAGGTGGGCTGGAAACGACTGAACCGATCCCGCTGGATAAAGGATGGGGTGGTAAACCTATCCCTGCCCCGAGGGGCATACATGATCTGGAAGGAAAAGAGAAGAGGCCTCAGGACATTCTCAGAACAAAGAAGACCAACAAGGGGCAGGATCCAGGGAACTCAAGCTTATTCTGTATTGTCAGTTTTGATACCATTTCACACCGTATCCTATGCAAAATAGAAAACAACTTGTCTAGAATTAAAAAATGGTTTTGTTATACCTAATGACTTAGACCATTTAACTATGTAAAACTTCTACTGTGCATCTGGGATGGCTAGCTGGAGGCTTGGATCTAATGGCATTATCAGAAGTTTATGTTCACATTTTCTAAGGATTCAGATGGGACCTAAGGGAGTGGAGAATGTGGCAAACAGGCCAGCACAAGGAGCACAGCACAGGCCCCATGTGAGCCAGGCTACAGGGGACCTCATCCCAGCCTCAGTGGCTTTATCCATAGAAGGGGAGGACAACAGAACACCTGCTTTCTGAGGCCCTGACAGCTCCGGAGCCTATGATTGAACAAGGTGAAAAATCAGACAAGCTACTTTTCTTTTTAGTTTCCAGGCTTTTTACAGTTACGCCATTAACAGTTTCTTACTGATCTTTCTAGTCATTAAAATAAATTTTTTGTATTTCAAAGTAAATATTTTAGTTTTCCCCAAAGTGAATTCAGATAATATATTTCTTTAAAAATCTTCTCTTGGGGACTCATGTGTAAAATGGTGAACTACAGGTGAACCACAGGTTAGCTCTCAGTGAGCTGGTAAAGGAGAGAGGAGAATAAGAGGAAGACAAACACTATTCCAAAGAGAGAAAGTGCCCGAAATCCACAAGGGAAAGGAAAAGAGGAGAAAAGGGGGCAACAGAGAAATATGCTGAACACAGCCTCAGCCAGTCTCTTACAAAGGTAAGAGGAAAAGACTGGTAGTCGCACCCACCTGACAAGCCCACAGCCCTGACAAGCCTCAAACCCAGCTGCAGGTTTTACTGGGATAGTGATTCCAGGTTACCACTGGAGGAAATCCCATTTTGTTATGCTTACGACTCAGAGGGCAGCACTGGGTGCCAACACTAACACAGAATTCATTGTTAAAAACTGAGCTACCCCAGAGAACGGAGGTCAGGGAACAACTAGAGGTCAGCAAACCTCTATTTGGACTGACAGGTCCTGGATAAGGCAAGGCCCAAGGAAGCAGTCGTAGAGAGCAGGAGAGTTAGGGGCTGACAAGTCATAGGGTGCTGGCAACAGGTTTTGAGGGAGGTACATAGGAAGAGATGACCTGGAGCAGATCTCATGGACTGAGAATAACCCTAGAGTCTGATAGCTCTGAGCCTGAGGCCAGTGGGTGATCAAGTTCTGAAGCCACCAATCTGTCCTTCACTGCTAGGAAATTTGAGAATTCTGAAATTCCAGGGGTGTGCACCTCATACTGACAAGCTGCACCCCTCCAACAGGGTGATCAAGAGATCATGAAAGCACAAGCATAGAACCTCCACCGGCACCAAGCTCAGTGCTGTGGTTGCTCCCACACCCCAGCTTTACAGCCATCCTAGGGATTATGACCTGGGAGTTTTAGGAGGGTGAGAGAGCTTTCCCAGAGACTCCTGGTGAGCAAAGGAAAGCTACTGAGATAAAGGCAGATAAACACTTGTCCAATACAGTCTCAGCAATCGCATAAATCATGCGAAAGGTGAGCCCACAAGTTCAGCTACCCCGACTCCATGCATATAACTGACAGTATCCAGTTCTCAAGGACCCAGAGAAAAGGTGTTCTAACATCTCATCTTTTTTTGACCCTTGCGTTTTGTTTACTTTGTGTGTATATGTGTATGTGTGGGTGTGGGGGTGTACCATGGGCACACATGCAGAGGTCAGAAGACAGCTCACAGGAGTCTGTCGTCTCCTTACACCATGTGAATCCCAGAGATGGAACTTAGGGCAGAAGGCTTGGCAGCAGGTGCATTTACCTGCTATGCCACCTTGTGCCTGATTCCTTTTACACTACATGAATAGCAGGATTTCCATTTGCCTTCTTAAGTCTTTATGTTTTTGTTATTCCCTTTCATGCATTTGTCTAATTTTTATGTATTTTTTTCCATGATTGAATATTTTCTCTTTTCCTTAGTTTCTTTTTATGTTTTTGTCCCAAGTTTTCCCCTTCCCCTCTCTATATTTAGTATTTTCACCTTACATTATTTTTAAATACACTTTAAAAATTTTTTTATTACATTTACTTATTGTGTATGTGTGGGTATGTGTCTGTGTGTTTGTGTTTATATGCACATGCTATGGCATGCATGTGCCGGTCAGACGGCAGTTTGCAGGAGTCAGTTCTTTCCTTCTACCATGTGGATCCTAGGGATCAAAATCAGCTCATCAAGCATGGCAGCAAGCACCTTTACGCACTGAGCCACCTTGCCAACCCTTAACTACTCATTTTTAAATATTTTTTTTTGCTCTCCTTATATTTAGCTAATGTGGTTTTTGACCTTTTTCATTACTGGGAAACCTTTTGATTTTCCTCTTTTCCCCGCTCTCTTGTTCTTTTACCTTTCCTTTCATAATATCCTTCTCAATTCTTCCTCCTTTCTCCTATCTTTCTCCCCTTTCCCAGTCTCCTTCCTTTGCCTCGTTCACTTCCTATTTCCACACTTAACTAAAGAATTTTTAACTTCCCAGCATGTTCTACAGTAGTTCTGCCATTTTCAGTTTTGTGGTCATTGGTGATGTATCTGTGAGCTATAATATATTTTAAGATCATTCCCACATCTTGTATGGCTTGTTGTTTTTGCTGTTTCAGTAGTCTCTTTTATCTTTTCTGAATGATTCTGGGGATTGACTCCTTAAGAGTAGGTGGGTTAATGAGACCGTCACTCACAAAAAACTTGAGGAGATATCCAAACTAATAGATGTGCAAATTGCAAAACACAAACACAAGAAACATGAAAAACAAGGCAACATGATTCTGCAAAAGACTGTAACTCTTCAATTATTGAACTCAAAGATACTGACATCAGTAAAATGCCAGATGAAGATTTCATAAGGTTTTTTAGAAAAAATGATTAATGACCTAAAAGAGGATACAAACAAGAAGATAAATTCACTCCAGGATCTGGAGAGGAAAGTCAGCAACACAGAGGGAAAAAATCAGCAAAATAAGTGAGAAAAGCCGCAATATAGATGGGAAAGTTAGCAAGATAGAAAATTTCAGCAAGGAAACTGAGATTTGGGGGAGCGAACCCACAAATGCTGGAAGTACAAAATCCAGTGAATCAAATTTGAAAACATGGCACAAAGCTCAGCAGTAGTCAAGTAGACTTGACAAAGCAGAAGAAGGCTATGCAGACAACTTGATAAGACACTACATTCAATCATAAAGCAGGGGGAATGAACGAGTATGACAATGAAAGAACTCTGGCACAGGATCAAGAATCCACAGGATAGGAGGAGTTAAGATAAATAATGAAGACATAGAGTATCAATTCAATAAATCAAAACATGAGCTAAATCTAGAGAGAGAAACATCTATTCAGACAGCAGAGGCATTTAGGATCTGGAATGGATGTGACCAGAGACGAATTCTCCATGACATTTTATAGTCAAGAGAGCAAAACCACAAAGCAAAGTAACAGTATGAAAAGCCTTTGTAAGGGAAAAATACAGCTCACCTACAAAGGCAGAATAACATCAAACCTCTCTTTATCAACTCTAAAATCTAGGAGAGCATGGGATGGTAGATTTCAATCCCTGAAAGTAAATAGCTGCCAATGAAGATGGCAATATCCAGAAAAGCTATGTTTTAAAATTGACAAATAAACAAGTACATTTCAAGACAAGCACGAACTGAAGCAGTTCTGACCTCTAAGTCAACACTACAGAGGAGACTTAAGAGAAACACTATATACAAAGGAGGAAGAAAGTACAGAAAAGAATACATTTTACATGAGGAATAGATAGATATGAGAGAACTATGAAAGAACCCATCATGTCTAACACAGTAAACCAGCAAACCCATGATACCAAGAGAGGAGAAAACAAATAGTAACTCAAATAACCAATGAAATTAGTAATTACAAATTAGTAAACATCTCAATAATAACCTTGAATATAAATAGCCTCAACTCACCAATAAAGAAGTGCAGACTGGATGACTGGATTTAAACACTACATCCAACCTTCTGTTGTCTCCAAGAAATACACCTCACTGGTAAAGGTTCCCACAGATTGAGAATCAAGGATTGAAGTAAATTTGTCATGTATATAGAAGTAAAAAGCATGCTGGTGTAGCTATGCTGATATTTGATAAAGTAGACTTCAAACCAAAATGAGAAGTTTAAAGACCACTTCATATCAAGAAAGGGAATAATTCATCAAGAAGGTATAATAACAATTATAAATACATATACACCAAATGTTGGGGCTCCCATTTTCATAAAGCAAACACTAGTAGACATAAAATGTCATATAGGTCTTTATATAAAACTGGATGATTTCATTACCCCACTCACATCTCTAAATAGGTCATCCAAACTGAAAATCAACAATTAAACTTCAGAGTTAAAGTATACCATAAATCAAATGGACATAACAGATATACAGAATATTCCATCCTACAGATACAGAATACACATTATTCTCAGGAGCCCATGTATTCTTCCCTAAGATAGACCACATGCTAGGCCACAAATACAAAAGAGCTAAATAAAGTCTTCTTTCCTTTTATATTATAGTGCAATAAAACTAGAAACCAATAGGAAGGAAAACTACAAAAACCACATAAATACATGAAAAATGAACAATATATTTTTTGGTCTTAATGTATACCAGGCTGACCTCAAGTTCACTATGCAGCCAAGTCTGACCTTGAAATTCTGACCCCTGCCTTTGAGTGCTGGGATTACAGGTGTACACTATTATACCTGGTTTATGCAGTGCTAGGGACCAAACCCAGGGTTATGTGCACCCTCAACCCCAAACAATACACCCTTGAATGATCAGTGGATCATGTTTTTAAAAGTCAAGGATATTTTAAAACAGCTAGAA